CCTGTTCCTGCTCCTGGCTACAGGGCCCAGACAGGATCCCCACCCACCAGCAAGGGACACAGGCAGCTCCCTATGCCCCAGCTCTTCCCAGCAGCATCTGCCTTTGTCCCAGGGCTGGAAAAGTGTCTGTTGTCCCACTCTAAGGAGCTCTGCAGGCATTTGAGGAGCCTTCAGGGAGGGCCAAGCCCCTGTTCCTCCCAGAGGAAGGGAGAAGGAGTTAATGCTGGTGTGGGAGCATGGGAAAGGCAAGGCATTTAGAGGATGAGAGAGCTTGGGTGGTGCAATTCAGAGAACTCCCAGAGAAAATTACATGCCTGAGGAGCTGGAATTTAACCCTCTAGCAGGGCAGCTAAAACTGGGGCTCAGCCCTGCTGCCAGCATGTGGCCAAGAGCTGCGTCCCCAGTGCCAGGACAATGACATGAACTGAGGGGAGCAGTGAGGAACAGCTCAACCCCCTGGATACCCACCCAGCTCTAGGTGTTCCCTTCCCAGGGATCAGCCCTGGGATTTCCCCTGGACGCTGCTCCCAGTGCCATCCTTTCCCCCAAAGACAAAGCCAAGGATGCTTGAGCAGATGTAAATTTATTTCACAGCCAGGAGCCATGCAGGGCTCAGGGGGGACTCAGAGCTGCAGCTCTCATGCAGGCTCAGCCTCACTTTTACTTTTCAGCCTCTTCTTTCTGTTCCTCTCCTTCCTCCTCCTCTTCCCGCTGGTGGTGGGGACTGGGGAGGGAGTGGCTGGCACTGGCTCCCTGCCCACTCCCTCCCGTGCCGGGGCATCACTCAGGATGGTGTTGGATGCTTCCCCCAAGGATGGCAGCAGGGCCCAGGGATCAGCAGGGCCAGGATGGCTCCGTGCCCCCTTTTCAGAAGAGCCTTTCTTCTTCAGACCTTTCCCCTTTTTCTTCTTATCTTTCTTTCTCTTCCTCTCTTTCTTGACTGCCTTGGGCACTGTCCCGGTGCGCTGATCCCCTGGGAGGGCTCCTCCTCCTGTGCTGCCCCACGGGGGGCTCAGGGGGACTCCCCTGGGCCTGGCTGCCCTGTCAATCAGCTCCCCCCCAAATTCATACAGCACCGGCTCTCGGGGCACCGCCACGGCCACCGTGTTGTACGCCTTACACCTGCCAAAATCGAGGAGGCACCACAGGGTGGGACAAGCCCGGGCAGGGGGCAGTCCCCAGGGCAGGGGGTGGGGGCACTCACCAGACATAGAGATAGGGCTCCACACACTCCTCCCTGTAGGTGAACTCGAAGCAGGGCACCTGGATGACGTTGAAGAAGGCCTGGCCCACCACGCGCGACGCCGTGTCGTTCACCCGCCGCAGGCACTCCTTCAACCTGCCCGGGGCACGGCCGGGCTCAGGGGGCTGCCATGCCCCGGGGGGATGCCGGGGAGCCCCGGGGCACTTTGGGGACGCTCACCTGTGGTCGCAGTCGCAGTGGCTGATGGTGTGCCAGCGCAGGTTGCGGTAGCCGTAGCGGGCCGTGAAGGGGTGGATGACGTGCTGGCAGTGGTCGTGCTCCCGGCAGCACCGATCCGTGTCCCGGTGCTCCCCTGCGGGGAAACGGGGGCTGCAGGCAGGGCTGGGGGGCCCGCGTGCAGGGCTAGGGTTGAGCTAGGCTAGGACTAGGGTCAGGATTGGAGTGACACGTGCGTGGAATCACACTGGGATAGGTGAGGGTGGATGGGTTCAGCACTTGGGTGGGGACGAGGCTGGCACTGGGATGGGGACTGGGCTGTGCCAATCCCACACTGGGGATCAGACTGGGCTAGACTGCGGTCCTGGAGCAGGGCCGTGAGAGGGTTTAGGGATCAGGATAGCAACTGGGAGTGGAGCACTATTGGGGTGGGGACTGGAATGGCAGCAGGATGGACCACAGAGTAGGCTGGGGACAGGGGGTGGATCAAGAGGGGACCAGCACCAGAAAGAATTGTGGTAGGGACTAGGCAGAGGTGAACTGGGATTGGACTGGTGCTTGGGTGGGGACTGAACTGGGACAGACAGGGATTGAACTAGCATGGGAACAGGGGCTGGGATAGACCAGTACTGGGATGCACTGGATTAGGATTGGTGGGGATTGACCTAACACTGGACTGGGCTGGGATGGAGCAGCATTGGGTTGGGGATGGGATGGGACTTGAGGAACAGAATGGGAAGGGAGTGGGATGGGAGGGGATGAGAAGGGATGGGATGAGATGGGATGGGAAGGCAGACGTAGCAGCATCCCTGCCGCCCTTACCCAGCTGCTCGTAGCTGTCCGCGTTGCTGCCCGCACCGCACCACAGCGTCCCGGGGTAGGTGAGCCCGCGGCGGGCCCGGGGCCGTCCCTGCGGGGCCGCTCCGAGGGCAGGTGGCAGCAGGAGCAGGAGGAAGAGGAGGAGGAGGAAGAGGAGGCGGCAGAGCAGCCCCGGGGCGCACATGGCACCGCGCCGCTCTCCGCCGTGGGGCCGCCTTATAGAGTGGCGCAGCCCGCCCACGCGGGGCGGCCCGGCACGGCTTGGCACGGCCCGGCACCGCGCCGAGGGTCCCGCAGAGCCGGGGTGCTGCCGCCGCTCCCGCAGCCGCGGCACGTCCCGCGCCGGCAGCCCGCGGGGAAGGGGTCACCCCTCCCGGTGGGACCGGCCCCGTTGCTGTGGCAGCCGGTGGGGTGATGTGCCGGGACCGGTAACGAGCCGGCCCCAAACCCCCGCCCCGTGACGCGCCGGGCCCGCACAGCCCCCGGCCCCGGAGCGGCCCCCGACGGGAGAACGATGCTCCCTGCATCCCTGTGGATGGATGCCCTGTGCAGCCCCACATCCCAGCCGCAGATACTCCCTGCATCCCTGTGGATGCATGCCCTGTGCAGCCCCGCATCCCAGCCAGCAGATGCTCCCGGCATCCCCCTGTCCCTTCCCGCGGTGCTCCCCACATCTGCACACCCCACCCCATGGGTGCGTGCTCCATCCCCGTGTCCCACCCCAGGGACGCTCCCTGTGGCCCTGCATCCCCTCCCGCGGTTGTGCCTTTCACAGGACAGCCCAGAGCCCGGTGCCCAGCCGGGCTGGCCGCCCACACCGGCACTCCCAGAGCGCTGCCAGGGCTGTCCCTCCTGGCCAGCTCCTGCCCGTGGAGCCCATTGGCAGTCAGGACACAGCCCTGGCTCGCTGGGATGCAGTGGCAGCCAGCTCTCAGCAGGGCAGGACAGTGCCTGGACACCCCAACGGGGACGTGCATGGCCTCAAAAAATCCCTGCGCTGCCCAAGACCACCCAAAGCTGCAGGACATCCCCCTGAGCAGCACCCTGGCTGGCTGACCCCTGCATCACAGGGTGCCACCCCACCGTGCCACCCACACTGGCACAGGCAGCTGGTGCTGGGGACACCCACGTGGGGTGCAAATGTTGCTTCCCACCACAGTGCTGCCTGGCTGGGGCAGCAGAGCCGTGGGGATGTCGGTGGCCCATGGGAAGGGTTCCTGCCTGGCACTGTCCCCGTGTCCAGCTGGCTGAGGGTGCTGGCCTGGTGCCACAGGGGCTGCCCCTGCTCAGCTGTCGCTGTCTGTGACACTCCTGTGACGGTCCTGCTCGGCTCAGCCCTGCCACCAGCACCCAGGTATGGAGCCAGAACGGGAACCCTGGGCCCTGGGGTGCCACGTGTGGGTGTGGGTGGGGGGCCCCAGGCCATGGGGAGGCTGGAGGTGGGGAAGTCTCACCCCCCCTTCCTGCTCAGTGCTTGCAGCGCCTGCAGTCCCCACGCATGGACCTGTGCCACATCCCTGCCACCCGGGAGAAGGGCTGGTACCTGGCACTGATGGCCCCAAACGTCAAAGGTCCCAACTATGCCTGGCTGGACCCCTCCCGGCTCTACTGCCACCCGCAAGTACCCAGTGCCCGGGGTGGATGGCACCCACGGGGTGCCAGGGAGGGCTGCATCTCCACGGGGCTGCTGGGGCACCCAGCTGTGGGTGCCCATGGTGGGCTGCGGGCACCCAGCCCCTCCACTGTCCCCCCAGGGCTTGCAGGACTGCGTGGCCGACCTGCTGCAGCCCTTCCAGGGAGATGCCATCGACATGGTGGCCGGCATCGACGCCATGGGCTTCATCCTGGGTGAGCAGGGCACAGGCCACACGCGAGTACAGGGTCTCTGTCCCTTGTCCTGGGGGTCCTGACTGTGCCGTGCCCGCCTGCAGGCGCGGCAGCCGCTGCCACCCTGCGGAAAGGCTTCCTGGCCATCCGCAAGGCCGGGCACCTGTGCGTGCCGACGGAGGCGCAGCCCTACAGCGACTACTCGGGCCGCCAGAAGCTGATGGAGCTGCGCACCGACGCCATCTCGCCCGGTGAGCCAGCGGGGCGCGCTCCCTTCGGGGGGGCGGCGGTGCGGGCACGGGGCACTCATCCGCAGCCTCTCCCCGCCCGCCGCAGGTCTGCGCATCCTCCTGGTGGACCAGTGGGTTGAAACTGGGGGCACCATGAGAGCGGCCATCGAGCTGGTGGAGCGGCTGGGGGGGGTCGTGGCAGGTAGGAGAGGGCACCCCAGGGTGGGACCACCACTCCCGTAGCTGTGCTGAGCCCCCCGGTGTGTCCCTACAGGTGTCGCTGCCATCTGCATGGAGAGCAGCGAGGGAGGGAAGTGGATCCAGGAGCGCTACAAGTGCTCCCACTGTGTCCCCCCCCGCCTGCAGCCCCGCTTCGACCAGCACCAGTTTGGCTGGGACTGATGTGGGAGTGTCACCTCGTGTGTCCCCTGCAGCCCCCCGAGGGACACAGGGCTGCTGGCTCTGCAGGACAGGGATGATCCTCGGTGGAAAAGGAACTCGTCCTCAGTGGCAGCCACCCATTCTCCTGCTTGCCTGTGAGCCTGGGGGCTGCACCCGGGGACAGGGAGACCCACAGCCAGCTCCAGCCCCCTGCACCCAGCCCCATGCCTTTCTTACAAAGCATAAAAAAGATTTTATTAAGACAAAAGGGAGCCTGAGGACATCTCCCCCTGCGAGCAGTACCTGGGTTTGCATAGCTGCAGGAGCCACACGGGTGCTCCTGCCCACCCCAGCCAGGGGTGCCCAGGCAGGCCAGGGGCCGGTGGGGGGCTGGGGGTGGCAGGGACGTCTCCTCGGGGCCGGCCGGGGTCGCCCCTCTTTGGTCCAGAGCACGGAGGGGGCTGGGGCTGCCCCTCACTGGCAGCACTTGGGTTTCTTGCGGGGCGCTGACAGGTACAGGTCGCTCTCCTTGCTGCTGATCCCTGAGGGACAGAAAAGCAGCGGGGGTGGGTGGGTGGGTGGCTGGGGGGACAAGGGGGACCCCCGGGCAGGGCTGGCCAGGGCTACTCACGCACGGTGTCGCCGATCCTGCGGGCGCTGCTGCCGCGCTCCAGCTCGGCCAGCACGCTGCTCTCGAAGGTCAGCGCCGCCACTCGGAAGAAGAAATCCCGCACGTTCTCCCCTGCCCCGCGGGAAGAGACCCCTCCTGAGTGCCCCCTGAGCTGGCTGACGCTGGGATCTGCAGCCCCCCACCCAGCTGGGACTCACCAGTGAGCGAGGAGACAGCCCAGTACTCTGCCTGCATCTCCTGGGCCACCTTGAGAGCGTCCTTCTCCATCAGGCTGTACTGTGCTGGGGTCTGCCAACGGAGCCGGCCATGGGTGGGTGACAGGGACAGCCAGGGCACAGTTTGCCCACAGGGAGGGGGTCACACTCACGCTCAGATCCTTCTTGGAGCCCACCAGGAAGAGGATCACGTTGGATGGGTCGTTCTCCTTCAGGGCGTCAGCCAGCCACTGCCTGTGGGAGCCACTGTCACCAGCTGCTGGCCGAGCACTGCTCACACACCACGGCAGCCCCACAACCCCTCTCTGTCCAGCCCTTGAGGCCCCCACTGCCACCCCTGGCCCCACTCCGGGCCATGTGTCACCCACCGTGTGTGCTCCAGGGACCCCACGTCGTTGACATCGAAGACAATCACGATGGCTGGAGGAAGAAGGAGGCTGAGATGGGGACAGGGACAGGGGGGTGGGCAGCTGGGCTGCAGAGGGGAGCTCACCCTGTGCTCCCCGGTAGTAGGTGGAGGCGATGCACTTGAAGCGCTCCTGGCCGGCCGTGTCCCACCTGGGGGGGCGTGGGAGGTGAGGAGGGGGGCTTTGCAGGGCTGTGTGGGGAGGGGGCTGGCGAACACTCACAGCTGCAGGCTGAAGGGCACCCCCAGCACCTCGAACCGCTCCATCTCGAAATCCACCCCGATGGTCGCCTTGTAGTTCTTATCAAAAGTGTCCTTGCAGAACCTGGGGGGGAGTCAGGGGGGTATCAAGCTATCAACATCCCCTGAGCCCCTCATCCCAACCCCGTGGGGGCTCGGTGCCCCCTCCCCGGGTCCTGTGGGGTCACTCCTCCCTCTCCATCCCACTCCGAGCCTCCCGGGGCTCCCGTTACCGGTTGATGAGGCACGTCTTCCCCACCGACAGGTCGCCCACCACGATAATCTTGGAGATCTTGAACCTACAGCGAGGGGCAGGCGCGGCTCAGCAGGGTGGGGGCACCCCCGGACGTCCCGGGGGGGGCAGAGGGGCTCCCGGGCAGGGCGGCCATCCCCGCACGGCCCCTCGTGTGCCCTGCCGCGGCTCCCCCCGGACCCCCGCGCCCTCCCCTGCCCCCGAACGGGGGCGTGGGAGGGGCCAGGACGCCGGTTACTCTGGGACTGGGCCATTGCGCTGCTACCACCGCGACGGGATCCCGGTAATCGCCCGCCACCCCGGGGCTCACCCCGGTCCCGCACCGCCACGACGGCGGGGAGGGACGGCAGGGCGCCAGACTACAACTCCCATGACGCCCTACGGCGCACGGGACACCGTCGCGCGTGCGCGCAGGAGTCCGTTAGTGAGTACTACCACTACCGGCATGCCTCGAAGATGTCGCGAGACTTGGGGCGGAGGGGTGATGGGGATTCCGTCTTGCTCCCGCGAGATTTGGGGGTATAAGCCCGTGCAGCGCGGCGTGGGAGACCCCTTTCGGCTTCCGCCTGGCCAAGATGGCGCCCAAGGCAAAGAAGGAGGGTGAGGGCGCGGGGCGCTGGGTCTGTGCTGGGGGCGCGGGGCGGCGTGTGCGACCCCGCGGGGGGCTGCTGTATGTGTGGGGAGACCGGGCTGAGCGAAGCGGGGAGTGGCGCGGGGCTCCAGCGCTGTGTTGAGCGCGGGCACGTGGACGTGGCGGGAGAGGCCCGCCGGGTTGTCTGAGGGAGGTGCGGGGTGTTCCCATCTCGATGCTGGGACTCGTGAGTGGGGAGGGAGGGACTAAGTGCCTTTTCCCGCACGGAAACGGGAGACTTTTACCACAGATGGGCGTTTTGGGGCTCCTCTTCGTTGGATGAGGGAGCGCGGGCCGCAGGGTGAGGTCGTGCTCATGGAGCGGGGGAAGCCATGCCCGGCCGGGGAGCACACCCCGACCCTGCCGATCCTTGTGGTGCTGACTGAGCTCTCCTCACAGCTGTGCCTCCGAAGACAGAGGCGAAGGCAAAGGCGCTGAAGGCCAAGAAGGCCGTCCTGAAGGGGGTCCACAGCCACAAGAAGAAGAAGATCCGCACGTCGCCCACTTTCCGCAGGCCCAAGACGTTGCGGCTGCGGAGGCAGCCCAAGTACCCCCGGAAAAGCGCCCCCCGGAGAAACAAGTGCGTGTGGGCAGTGGGACTCTGCCCTGCTGGGGGGTTTGGGCGGTGGGAGCAGCCCCCTGAATGGGCTGCTGTGGGAACCTGGTGGTTTGGGATGCAGGTGATGATTTTAAGCGACCAAAGCCTGAGAGTTTGTGATTATAACCTTAGGTGACTGATGCACCCCAAAGAAAGCTCCTAAAATTCTGAGGAGCACCTGCCTGCCCTCTGTTAATCTAGGACCTCTCTTGCAGGCTGGACCATTATGCCATTATCAAGTTCCCTCTGACCACAGAATCAGCCATGAAGAAGATTGAGGATAACAACACCCTGGTGTTCATCGTGGATGTCAAGGCAAACAAGCACCAGATCAAACAGGCTGTCAAGAAGCTCTATGATATCGATGTGGCCAAGGTTAACACGTTGATCAGGTGAGGAGGGGGAGGAGAACAGGTCCCTGCAGGGTATGAGGGGCTTCATTGTAGCAGAAAATGGGAGTGTGTGTGAGATTGAGGAGATGTGGGATGAAGCTCCACAGCTAAGTGCAGCTTTTGACTGAGGACATCTTGGTGGAAGTGGGAAATGCTGGCAGAACAGAGGATTGGTTTCCTCAGGGAGCTCTTGGCTTCTTCAGAGAGCTCTTTGCCTCCTCAAGGAGCACTTCTGACACCCTGGAGTCCTGTGCAAGTGATGTAAACTTTGATTCCACTGAGTAAAGTGATGCTTCCAAAGGAACCACTGATGCACATGGGAGTTGTAGGAATGTGGAGCAGGAGGAAGGAGTTGTCTCTGTCCTGATGCCTCCTGTCCCTCTCTAGGCCTGATGGAGAGAAGAAGGCTTACGTCCGACTGGCTCCTGATTATGATGCGCTGGATGTGGCCAACAAGGTGAGATGGCTTTGAAACTTGGAAGCTTTTTTTGCACCTTGTCTCGTGTCTCCTCCGCTGATTGTTCTTCCTGAGTTTCTTCATGAGGTGCTTGTGTGGTGGCACCTCTGTGGCCCTGTAGGCAGCCAGGATCTGAGTGCTGGGGAGCCACGTCCTCAGTCAGTTCAGTCCTCAAGGTGGCTGAGGTAGGCAGAGGTGGTACAAAGTGGAGTACAGGAATGTACAGCACAAGGATCAGTGTGGAATCAGTGCACAGAGTGGATGTGTAAAGCTCTTGGGCAGCTCTGGGAGGAGGAAACCTTGGAGTAGGGGAATGTACAGCACAAGGATCATTGTGGAATCAGTGCACAGAGTGGATGTGTAAAGCTCCTGGGCAGCTCTGGGAGGAGGAAGCCTCGGAGGACAGGAATCCTGGGGAGATGCAGTGATGTCTGTGGCGGAGGCTTTGCCTTTCTGCCACTATACCATCTGTTTTAACATCCTTTGCTTCTTTCCAGATTGGAATCATCTAAACTGCATCTGCCGAGGACTGTACAGACTAATAAACATTGTGACACCACTGAGGGCTCTTGTGTTTTGTGACAGCACAGCCCGTGTGAGAGAGAGCACCCACCAAACTCCTGGGCCTTCCCTTCTTTAGAGGGAAAACTCCTTCCCTGGCACTGGGTGGGCAGGGCTGACTGCTCCACGAGAGGGCTGTGCAGGAGCAGTGCTGCCCTACTCAGAGGGTGTCTGGGATCCTGTCAGCATGAGGTGACACCTGTATCTCAAATATCTCTACACTTACCCCCAGACCTCTTGTGTCTTGCATTTTCTTGCACAGGGTGTTTGGGATGTGTTTGTGATCAGTGTTTTGGGTGTCCTACGTCACTTCCTTGTGGAGCAGAGCACGGGTGGCCACAACAAAAACTTGTCAGTGGCTCTGATGTGACACAGGTGACCTGTCACACCATTTCCCCAGCGTATCAGCTCCCTGCTTATGCTGCAGGTTCACTTGGAATCCTCCTGCTAATCCAGCAGTGGAGGCTTTGTGGGTTTTTCTGGCACAATCTCCACTCCATGTGCTTGCAGCATGAGTTTCCCTGTTGCTGTTCCTCACAGGGTTCACTGTCCTCAGGGTTGTTTCCAAATACTGCTGTTGCTGCCTCTGCAACGTTTGGCTTTTAAGTCTCTAGATGAAACCAGCTTTTAGTGTTTGGAGTCAGGAGAATGTGGAGCGCTGGCTGAGCAGGGAGTGGGGGACTTATGGAAAAGTCTTAAGGGTACTTGAGCTTAAGTACATACTTAAACTTGACTGAGAAAGATGATTAAAGCCGTGGCCAAATATTGATTGGGGTATTTGTGCTCTTGAATGGTGGGACACCGAGTTCCTTCAGGCCTCTTGTGGAGGGTGGCAGATTCCCAGGACAGTGGTGGATGGAAAGCAGGAGCTGCTCTCAGGACTCGGTGGAGCTTTGTGTGGGTTCTGTGGCCCTGGCTTGACACCCCTCACTTGGGCTTGGGGCAGGTGGGCAGGAGATGCTCCCTGCCGGCTGCAAGGGGTTAAAAACTGCCTGGAGGGAGGAGTGCTGCTTCCCTGTGTGCTTCCCTGGCACCACCAGCCCTGCTTCTTCCCTGTGGATTCATAGCAGCAGGGTCCCCTGACCCCCAGGCCACCTTTTTACACGTAAGAAAGATGTGTGAGTAGTTGCCTCTCTTGTAGCAAAGCCGCTGGGCAAGGATTGGGTCTGGAGAACCTGGATGTGCTGCAGCCAGAGTCTGGGAGGGATTCCACACCAGCATGACTTGCAGTCAGCCCTGGCCTTGCCTCAGCCCAGTGGTGCTGCCCTGGTACTTCACTTGCCTCCTGCTCCTGGCTGCCAGCCTGCCTGATCCACAGCTGCACTGCTGGGGGAGGCTCCTGCTGGAAGCCTGGAGGGGAACAGCAGGGAGCTGCCTCCTTTGGGAAGCTTTGTCATGCCTGGCTTTCCACCCTGGTTTAAGGACAGGGGAAGTGTGGGCTGGTCTGAGCCTGTGACCTGCTGGGACAGAGCTGTGTCTGCTTCAAGTGGAGAGACAAGGGGGAATGTGCAGCAAGAGGGGTGAGGGGAAAATTAACGTTTGAGCTTAGTTGTCACTACAGATGCAGTCATCTAAACTGCAAAGAGTTTTTTTAAACTGGAAGACACAGCTGAAGCTGTTGGGATGTGCTGCTGAGAGCAAGGCTGAGCCCTGCCAGGGCTGCTGAGCTGTGCTTGGAGCAAGGAGGGACAAGGAGCAGGTTTGGAGCTGGCATCGATCCCTGCCCACACTGTCCCAGCTATCCAATCTCTGTTCCAGCTGCCAGGCTGTTCCTGGCAGTGTGTCAGTGCACACCAGGGAGTCCCACCAGGATCCACATCCTGTGGGGTGTTTCCCAGCTCTCTGGTGGAAAGGTGATCCCCCACTGCCTCCCCTCAATCACTGGCTTATTTCAACTGCAGCGCCTGTCTCTGCCTGGGCTGGGCAGGTGCTGGGGTGGCTGGGACAGGTCGTGCCCAGAGCAGGGGCTGGGCAGGAGTCCCTCTAAGCCCCGCTGCTAACACCGCTCCTGGCGCTGTCACATCAGCAGGATTTTCCTCTCTGGTGCTCCACAGGACCGGCTGGGCCAGTTCTAGCTCTACTCTCCCAGGGAGCTGAACCCCGCTTCTGCTCCCACTGCTCTGGGAGAGCTGCTGGAACCATCCTGGTCCTGTGGCTGCAGGAGAGGACCCAGCGTGCTCACAGGGCTGCAGCTGCACTGCGCCAGTGAAGACTGCTCCAGGGGGATGCAAGCATGCAGCAATCTTCCAGGAAGAGCCCTTGGCCTCACATGGCTTTTCCATGCCAGCTCCACTTCACGTGGCTGCTGGGTGAGTCACACAGCCCAGCCAGGCTGGAGACAGGCAGGTCAGGCACTGCCACAAGGCTCGGTACCTCTCCTGGTTCCCTTCAACTGTTCCCTACACAGCCCTGGGTCTCTGGAAGAGCAGAGGAATGAAGAAGAAGAGGGGAACCCATCCACAGGAGAGACAGAGTTGTGCTGTTCAAGGCTCAACTGGGTTGGCAGGACCCAGCAGGCTGAAAGGTCCCTAGAAAAAAGCGAGCAGCAGGAATGTGCCCTCTCCCTCCCTGAGAACTGCCAGCCCTCCTCTGGGAATGGGGCACATCCTTCCCACAGTCCTGGCCCAGGGGGAGTCCCCGACCTGCTCTGCCCCACAGAAGAGCCAGCCCAGGTGTGCTGCGGCAGCAGTAAATAGACCGATTTTAATGCACATAACACCCAACATCACCACGGGAGGGACTCCCCCTCCCTCACAACCCTTCCAGGCATCAGCTGCAAAGCACAGCCACCCCTGGCCCTCCAGCTGCCTGCAGGGAAGCCGGCTTGGGCTGCTTCTCCATCGGCCATGCCTCTGGCTTCAGCAGCATCCCCGCAGCTCAGCGAAGCTGTCGGGCTGGTCCAGCAGGGAAGCGCTTTTAGACAGCAGAGCGGGTGAAGGCAGGGCCTGGGGCCAGGGAGAAAGCCCTAAGGCACATCAGAGCAGCTTTGGAGAGCCCAAAACTTCCAGGAGCCGGAGTCCGGGTCCCCCTCGGCGCGCACGTCTCAGTCTATCAGAAACTTCTCACCATCTACGTCTCTCCCCGCAGAGCCCTTGCGCAGGGAGGGGAAAAAATCGGAGCGGAGGAGGCGGGAGAAGTACATGAGGATCATGGCGTCGAGCAGCAGGAGGTTGGCAGTGAGGAAGGCACCCTGGCCCTGCACCTCCACGTGGCGGAGGAAGTAGCAGGTGAGGTAAGCCTGGGGCGCCAGGCGGAAGGCGAAGTACATCACCAGGTTGATGTATTTGTTGGCCTCATAGAGCGCCGGGGAAGGCACGTTGCTCATCTTCAGCAGCATGCGCACCGTGAGGAAGATGTTGCTCACCTCCACCAGCAGCAGCAGCACCGCTGCCACCAGGAAGCGGCCTGTGATGATGAGTGAGACGAAGGCAGAGATGGCCTGGGAGACACACACACACAGAGAACAGGGTCAGCTCGCCTTGCCCTGGGGAAAGCGAGTCCTTCCCTGCCCTCAGTGAGAGCACACAGTTCTGCTTCCCCCACCCAGAGATCCCAGCAGGCACCTGAGCTTAGAGAAAACCAGTCTGGAAAGCCAGATCCCCCAGGACCAGTTACACCTCCCTGTGCTGGGACGAGCCTCCAGCTCTCCCCCCTCCCAGCTCGGCAGCCTGTCTGGCTCCAGGCGCTCGGAGCCGATGCTGGCAGGCGTCCTGCCCTGCCAGGCGCCCTCGCCTTGTTGATGCAGAGCCTACCTGGCAGCCAGGGTGAGGCAGAGAGAAGGGCTCCAGCTTGCCCCATGAAACCTGGGTGGGCTGAGCCCCGGGGTGTGTGGTAACCCCCCTGTGCTGGCCATACTCACCATGGCATGGTGCACCAGGTACTCCCAAGATGAGCGGGATTGATGGTTGAAGATGATGTCAAGGGTGTCGTGGATGAAGTAGCCTGTGGGATGAAGGAGAGCATTCAGAAGGTCTGGCTTGTGCACTGTGACCCACTGTGGACAGGAGGAGCAGCGAGGAGGAGGAGGAGGGTGGTGTGACTGTTCTTCAGGTGTCAGAAACACCTCCACCCCGTCTGGGTATGGAGAGACGGCGATTCCCTGGGGGTTGGCAGCCTGTTGGCCCCACGCTGTGATTAAGGCAGGAGGCATGGAGCTGCCCAGCCCTTGAGCCAGTGGCTCGTCCCGAGCCAGCATACCGGGCGAAGCTGAGCAGGGAGTGGGCGAAGTCCGGCAGGGTGGCTGCGGCCACTGCCCCGCCTGGCTCCTTACCTGAGGAAAAGCAGACCAGCAGGTGCCCTGAGACGCTGTAGCCGTCCTGGATGTCGGAGAGCAGCTCCGGAGAGTGCCAGAGGCTGCGAGTGAGGAGAGGAGGAAGGGGGTCAGCCTAGGCTCCGGGACGGGGAACACGGGGACCCCCTACCCGCTGCCCCCTCCCCAGGAGTGCCCAGTTCGCAGCGTGCGCACCGTGCCCGCCGCTCCCCGCGCTGCCCGGTACCTGAAGAGGGCCCATAGCCCGGCCAGCACGGAGTGTGCGAAAGAGACGAGGAGATTCCTCCAGCGCCAGACGCGGCCGGGACGGCTCCTTACGGCGGCGGGCTGTGGCACGGCCAGGGCCAGCCGGCGCAGTGCCCCGAAGATCGCCACGCTGCCGCCCACCAGCGCCGCCGAGGCCGCCCGCCAGCCCGGGCCCATCGCGCCCAGTCCGGCGGCGCGCGGCCGCGGGGCCACGCCCCATCCCCGGCCGCGCCTTCGCGCCGGCCACGCCCCTTTCGCGTGCGCCAGCGGGGCCACGCCTTCCCATTGGGCACTCCCTCCGCGCTGGCCACGCCTCCCCCGCGCGCGCCTGCGCGGGGTTGGCCGGCGCTGAGGGGCGTGGCCGCGCCTTTCATTGATAAAGCGGCGCGCTGGCCACGCCCCCCCGGCCGGGTGTGTACGCGCGTACGCGTTCACGTGTGCGGAGCGTGGCGCGGGCGTGGCGCACCTGTGCGGGGCGGGCAGGTGTGCGGGGCACGCAGGTGTGCGGCGTGTGCGGGTGTGCAAGTGTGCGGGTGTACAGGTGTGCGGGGCGGGCAGGTGTGCGGGGCAGTGTGCGGGGCGGGCAAGTCTGTGGTGCACGCAGGTGTGCGGGGCGTGCGGGGTGTGCAGGTGTGCGGGGCACGCAGGTGTGCTGGTGTGCAAGTGTGCGGGGCGGGCAAGTCTGTGGTGCACGCAGGTGTGCAGGTGTGCGGGGCAGGCAGGTGTGCGGGCTGCCGGGCGCCGCTCCCGAGCCAGCGCGGCATTGCACGTGTGTGCCGGACACCGCACGCGTGGGTGCCAGATACCGCCCGTCTGTACCGGGCAGCGCGGGAGGGCGTGCGTGGCAGACGTTGCACATCTGTGCTGGGCCCTGCACATCTGCCACGCTGGTGCACAGCTGGCGTGGGCCTCGCACATCTGTTCTGCGCCGTGTGTGTGTCCCCGGCACGGTGTGGCTGTCGCCGGTGGTTGCGGCGCGTTGTGTCGTGGGGGGAGGATGCCCGAGAAAACATTTGGAAAATCAGTGGGAGCAGCCACAAACGCTCGGCTCAAGACATGGGAGGGGGGCTGGGGCACTCAAAGGTGCCCTCAATACCAGGATGCAGTAGGGTGAGACGGAAAGGCGGGGGGCTGGTTCCTGCGCGGGGGTCCTGCCCCATCGCTGCCCCACGCTGCAGGGCGCCGGTTTGCGCGAGTGGGGCTGATCCCCTCCCCGGTGAGCCGAGCCGGCTGTCGCTAGGTGGCAGCAGGGCCACGTGGCAGTGCCACCACTGCCGCTGCTGTCGCTGTCCCCGCTCCAGGACAGAGGCCGCCACTCCTGGGTGCAGGGCAGGACCCGCTTCCACGCTATAGTCGCCATCACGGCCGGCCCCCGGGGTGCTCGTGGTCCTGGGGGTGTCTAAAGCAGGTCTGGGGGGCCATGGAGGGGACTCGTGCCCCGTGTGCTGGCCCTGCAGCAGCGCAGCCCCCCGCAGTGGGTGTCCCTCCCGGCCCGGGGCTGGGGGCTGCTGGGGACACCGCCGCTCTCTGGGGGTGCGGGGGGTCCTGCTGGCCTCCCGCAGTCGGGTCGGGCAGCCCAGCGCACCCCAAACCTCTTTCTCTGGTCTGTCTCTCAGACCCAAGAGGGTCTGGCTGCCGGTGGCACTGGGGTGTCACCGAGCGGGGGGTGGTGTTGCCCCCCCACCGAAGCACGGAGCCCCCGGGCCGTACGCGCGCGGCGAGGTTTGTCCGCCCGCGGACGCCGTAGCAGCGCGGAAGTGTCTCCATGGAGACGGGAGGAGCCGGGCCCAGGGATGGAGAAATACGAGCGGATCCGGGTGGTGGGGAGAGGGGCCTTCGGGTGAGGGGGCGCCGGAGATGGGCGATGGGCACGTCTCCAGTCTTTCCGCCTCCGGGCGGCAGGTCTTTAAGCCGCGTCCCCGCGGCAGCGAGGCGCTTGTGGCCGCGGCAATGCGGGGTCGGCCGGGGTGTGGCAGCGGGGGGGACATGGCACAAAGAGCGCGACACCCCGGGGCGCGGCGATTGCGGGCGACCTGTGTCACCCCAGGGTGATGTCCAGGCCCTGTGTTGCGTCCCCCCTCCCCGCGCTGAGGCCTCGTCCCTGTCCCCGCAGCATCGTGCACCTGTGCCTGCGCAAGGCCGACCAGAAGCTGGTGATCCTGAAGCAGATCCCGGTGGAGCAGATGAGCAAGGATGAGCGGCTGGCAGCGCAGAACGAGTGCCAGGTCCTCAAGCTGCTCAGCCACCCCAACGTCATCGAGTACTACGAGAACTTCCTGGAGGACAAGGCGCTCATGATCGCCATGGAATACGCCCCAGGTGGGCCCTGCTGTCCCCCAGAGCCTGTAGCTGCTCCCTTGGCAGGTCCAGGGGATGCCAAGCACTTGGCTCTCTTTGGGTCAACCTGCTTGGTCTCATGTTGTTCTCCTTGTAACAATCCTGGGTTTTGCATCCCCAGGAGACCAAGCCTGTCTCTCTTGAGGAGACATTTTTTGTAGAAGAGTATCTGTGGTTCTTGGTGGACACCAAATTGACAATGAGCCAAGTGACCAAGCATTGATGCAGTCACCATCCTTGGAGCTACTCAAAAGATTCTGGTCCTGGACAAGCTCAGTGTCTGTCCTTGAGCAGTGACCTCACAAGGTCCCTTCCAACCTCCATGATTATAAGCCTTACACCTGCTAACCATATCCAAAACAAGGAGATTTCAAACCCCTCTGTCCCTGATCAGCATGCTACCATCTGCCCTGGCCCAGGTTTCAGGCACATTTCCCTGTGTCAGCTCTGTTGGCCCCACATTTCTAACAAGATTTCCTGTGGAGTTTCTGATGAAATCAACATTTGCATGAGGGTTTGCTAAAAGCTGTGTGTGAGCCCTGAATCTGGACCTCCCCTTCCCAACAGGGGCCTCTCTGTGCCACGTGGCCTCTTGGACTGCAAGAATCCTGCTCTGCAGAACAGGCTGATCTTGTTCTGCCATGGAGGTTTATGTCCTCTCCCAAGAGCTGTAATTTTAGTGTTTCTTTTTCCTGCTTTTGATAATATGTCAACGATAACTTCTTTCTGGCTGCTTCTTCCTCCCACCAACTGTGCTACCATTGTTCAGGAGCATTGGAGGATGTGCTGCATATCCCACCAGGATGTGTTTTTCCCACGTGCTTGGCTAGTTAGGAAGCCAAAATGGCAAAATCCCCCCAGTTTTAGGCCAGGTTTGTGCTGTCCTGTGCCCACAGCCCTTTGCTGTTCCTTGCAGGGGGCACTCTGGCAGAGTTCATCCACAAGCGCTGTAATTCCTTGCTGGATGAGGACACCATCCTGCACTTCTTCGTGCAGATCCTCCTGGCCCTGCACCACGTGCACACCAAGCAGATCCTGCACCGTGACCTGAAGACCCAGAACATCCTCCTGGACAAGCACCGCATGATCGTCAAGATCGGAGACTTTGGCATCTCCAAAATCCTGAGCAGCAAGAGCAAAGCCTACACAGTGAGTGCCAGGGCAGCTTCCTGCCCCATGGCAGCAGGCTGGAAACTCTGGATTTGGCTCACAATCCTCTCTGGGAAGTGGCTTTAGGCAGTGCTGATTTGTTCCTTGGCTGATATCTTCATGCCTGAGTTTGCTGTGGCTCTGTGGGCTGCAGAAAGGTAAGGAAGACCTGCCCAAAGCTGGGAGAGGATGAGGTGTCTGGGCCCACTGGTGAGGGCAGGCAGGGTGGCTCCTGCTGGGGTGGTGTTTGCAGACTTGTCTGACACATCCTTAGCAAATAAATTCCTGCCTGTGCACTCCCACCCTGCCTTAATCTCTTTTCTCTGCTTGACATTTAGTGTCTTTCCCCACCTGGGCTAATCTGACCAGACGTGTGTATCACGCTCAGCACTCTGGGCTCTGATTCTCTCAAGTGGATAGAAGCAAAATTAGAGGCAATCACTGTATGTGTCACTGGAAAGGCAAATCCTCTTGTTTTTCACTGAGATTTTCAAGCAGCTGTTGATGCCAAGGGAACAAAAGGCCAGCTCTGTGGAGCTTTGGTTGGTGGTGTTCCAGCCAGCTCTGCACCAAGCCTCCCTCTTTCCACCTCTCTGCCCCAGTTTCTCTGCACTGTGGTAAATTTTTGTCTGTTGTAGGTGGTGGGAACTCCGTGCTACATCTCCCCGGAGCTCTGTGAAGGGAAGCCTTACAACCAGAAGAGTGACATCTGGGCCCTGGGCTGTGTGCTCTACGAGCTCGCCAGCCTCAAGAGGGCTTTCGAGGCTGCGGTAAGCGCGACGTGGTTTACACGTAGCACAGGGAGCCGTGGCCTCTCACAGAGGTGAAAATGTGTGCCGGGATCACTTCTCAGCGAGCCGGGAAGTGTGAAGGCAGAGGGCAGTGCTGAGAGCTGCTTCCTCCTTGGCCTCGCCCCTGACTGCCCAGCCACTGTTTTGTCTCTTGTTTTCTCTCCAGAACCTTCCTGCCTTAGTGCTGAAGATCATGAGCGGGACGTTTGCCCCGATATCAGATCGATACAGCCCCGACCTGCGCCAGCTCATCCTCAGCATGCTCAACCTGGATCCTTCCAAACGGCCCCAGCTGAACGAGATCATGGCCCAGGCCATCTGCATCCGGCCCCTCCTGAACCTCTACACAGATGTGGGCAGCGTCAAAATGAGGAGGCAAGTGACACTGCCACCTCAGTGTCCCTTGGGAGAGGCTGCCACAGCCCACAGCATGGCTGACCAGCTCACTGCCTCCCTTCTGAGCTCCAAAGGGAGCATTTTCCTATTGCAGCTCTCCTGTGCTGCCTAACGTGCAGCTGCTGCTGGCTGAGCTTGGCCCAGGGGCTCAGAGCCAGGCAGGTGCCATGGCAGGTGTTGGCTTGTCATCACAGTGACAGCAAACAGAGCTGTGAGCACAGGGGGAAGTGAGCTGGTGCCAGCTCCTCTCTCTCAGGTTGTTTAAAGCACCGACAAAGCAGTGCTGGGAGTGATTTCACCCATGGCTTCTGCTGTAGCTCTGCCCAGACATTCTGTGATCCAGGGCTCTGCAGGACATTAAAGGCTGGATTTTTGGTTTGGCAGGCCTGAAAAACCCTTGGCTCCGGTGCCCACAGTGACCCACAGCCGGACAGGGGGACGGGCAAGCAGTGCCAGGCAGAGGGGTGAGTTCTGGCATGGTGTGTTCAACTCAGCTCCATTTGGAAGGACCCTTTCCTTTGGATGACACAAGGCAGAAAGGCACTCAGGGTTCTGGAGAGAGGAACTTAAGAGATGTCACCTTCCCTGAGCTCTGGAGGAGCCCTGCAGCCCCTTGGACCCGCACTGGTCTGGCTCTGACAGCTCTGCTGGCACCCAGAGTGGCTGGTGCTGTCACTTTTCCTGTGGGAGCAGAGTCAGGGATCCACATTAAGGATTTCTCTGTGCCCCACAGGTGTCCGACGTGGTTCAGCCAGGACAGGAATCCCACCTCCACTGTCATCCATCTACACGTGGGGCAGTGGGATCACCACCCCTCTGCGCCTGCCCATGCTGAACACCGAGGTGGTGCAGGTCTCTGCTGGCAGGACACAGAAGGCTGGGGTCACCAAATCTGGGAGGCTCATCCTGTGGGAGGTGAGTGACAGGGAAGCTGGGGCAGGAGTGGCTGTGGAGCCTTGGATGTGTGATTCCTGTGAAGGAGGCATTTCTGCTCACTCACAGAGCCTGGCACTGCTTCCTCCAGGACTGCAGTCCCAGCCATGGTGTGGGTAATGCTGATAAGCCTGTGGGGTTCATCAGTGTTCTCCAACCCTGCTCTTCCATGGTTTCTCTCCATCAGGCTCCTCCCATGGGTGCTGCTGGGGGTCCTTCTCTCCCAGGAGCCACTGAGCAGCTCCAGCCTCAGTTTGTGTCCCGCTTTCTGGAGGGCCAGTCTGGAGTGACCATCAAACATGTGTCCTGTGGTGATCTTTTCACAGCCTGCCTCACAGGTGAGCTGCTACCTCCTGCTTCCACCTGCCTGGGTCCCAGAACCCCCTAAAACCCAGTGGGACTGCCTGGGGAGCCTGCTCAGAGAGGAACCAGAGAGATGCTCTGGGCTGGGGTGACCCAGAGGCCTCTGTGGCCTCTCATGTAGGATCAGGTGGGAGTCAGAAATGACAGACATGATCCTCCTGTGATGCCACACTGGTCAACTTGGTCCCAAACTGTCTGGTGTGGGGAGGGCCACAAACAGTTGGACTTAGGTGATCTTAAAGGTCTTTTCCAAGCTAAATTACTTTATGATTCTATGAAATCTCCTGTGTTTGTTGTCCTGGTTGCATTGGTGTCACCTGAAACCAGAACTGACAGTGGGGACTGCAGTGTGACATACTCTGAATGTGACATAGGCACATGCAGTGACCACCAATGACTGGGGTGACAGTGAGGAGTCAGTGTGAGCTGCTGCAGGGCTGTTGTCCTCAAACTGCAGGAGAGCAGGATTTGAAACCTCCTCAGAGCAGCCCAGGAAGCGTTCTGGGTTGAAGTGGAGCACACACACCAGTCCAAGGCCATGTTTGTGAGCAAAGCCCTCCCAGGGGTCCTGTGGGAGCTCTGTTTGCTCTTCTCCTGGGGGTCAGAGCAGCAAACAACAAATACACAGTGGGCAAACTCCATGGGCATGTGTTTATCCTACCTCCCATGGCATTTCCTGCCACCCCTCTGCTGGGCAGCTGCTCAGGGAGTGCCTCTGTGACCTTGACAGACCGTGGGGTCCTCAGCTCCTGCATACCCAGCTGCAGCAATGTTATCTCAGTGCTCTTATCACTCCTGTTTGTTTGTCGAGCCGTTGCAGCACGGTGAGGCTCCCTGGGAGATCCTGCAGCTCTCTGGAAGCTCCTGCAGCTCCCTGGGAGATCCTGCAGCTCCCTGGAAGTTCTTGCAGCTCTCTGGAAGCTCCTGCAGCTCCCTGGGAGATCCTGCAGCTCCCTGGCAGCTCCTGCAGCTCCCTGGAAGCTCGCTGAAGGCTTTGTGGCCCCTGCAGCTCGTTCTGAGTCAGAGTGGGTCCGATGTCCTGGGAGCCATGGCCACCCCTCGGCTGTGTCACCTCCCAGGGCCTCACGTGTGCCTTGCAGGGCCTCACGTGTGCCACTGACAGGGCTCCTTTCTGCTCCTGCAGACAGGGGGATAATCATGACTTTCGGCAGCGGCAGCAATGGCTGTTTGGGGCACGGAAACTTCACGGATGTGAGCCAGGTTGGTGGAGAGGGTGCTGGGCGTGCTGTTCCCCCAGGGTAAAGGATGGTGCTGTTCCCCCAGGGTAAAGGATGGGTCGTGGCTTCTGCACCACGTGAGGGGGTTCATCCCAGCTCCAGGGATGTGCATCCCAGGCATGCTCTGGCATCTGACCCCCTCCCCCTCCTCTCCTGCATGTCACTGCGGGTTTTAAAAGAGCCAACCTGCCTCTCTCTTTCTCTCCCCCCCTACACAAAGATCCCTTTGAGCGTGGGGGAAGTCAAGAGCTGCCTTGTGGTTGCTGTTGGCAGGCTCCCAGCTTGGAGCCTGCCTCCAATCACACACCTGCCTGCTTCACTCTTGGCCTGCAGCTGCCAGGGTTCACTGAGAAAAGTTATTTTTCAAAAGAGCCAGTATTTAAAGAAGAGCTGTGTGTTTCCGATTGGCTCGGAACACTGGGGCTGAGGGCTCATTGCTCCCTTCCAGCTTCTTCCTCGCCTGCCCTCGGATGTGGCAGCAGCCGATGGCTTCCAGCCGAGTCCGGGGACTGGTGCCATTTGTCACTGTGGTCAGCTGGCCCGTTTGTTCCTGCTCCTCCCAGAGCTGAGCTGCTCCCTGCTTATGGCTGGGGAGGGGAGACCAGTTGGAAGCAGCAGCCAGATCCCAACAAACGGTGCTTTTCACTTGAGGACGATAATGAGTATGAGGCGAGGTGTCAGATCTAACAGCAGGTCACAGCAGGGGCCGGGTGAAATGTGGAGATCCTGCTCCCTCCACACCCTAATGAATCTGAGCTGTTAACTCACAGCTCCTCTGCACGAGAGCCTTTGAGCCAACACATCCTGCACCAAGCCCCTGCCTGCTCAGAGCAGGCGTTCACAGCCCCTGGCACTCCCCACATGGGCAGGGGGGCAAATCCCAACCCTTGCTGAACCTCTTCCCTCTCCAAACTCTCATGCTGGCTGCTTTCTTCCACCCCAGAGATGTTTGCATTATCTTCTGTGCTGCGTGCACGTAGTCTCTTATCCCTTTGAAGACTGTTTGGAACAAAAAAAAAAAAAAAAAAAGAAATTTCTCTGTTGTTTGTGTTGGATGAAAACTGGGATGCTGCCAGCACTGTGTTGAGTCTGGGGGGGCCGGGTGGGAGGGATGGGAGCAGCCAGGCAGGCTGGGAGGTCTCGGCTGACGGCTGCTGCTCTTCCCCTGCCAGCCCAAGATTGTGGAGGCCCTGCTGGGCTACGAGATGGTGCAGGTGGCCTGTGGTGCATCTCACGTCCTGGCGGTCTCCAACGAACGGGAAGTGTTTGCCTGGGGCAGGGGGGATAACGGTAAGAGAAGTCTGTTTTGCAGAACAAGGCTTGTGCCTGTTCCCACTCCCTTTGCTGGCCCTGCTTGCCCACAGTCCCCTCCAGATGTGCCAGGGTGGGTGGCTGTGGAAGAGCTGCAGCTGTTTTGCTGCATACCAGGGCCCCCATGCTTTGGGTTTCTCTGCTTTCTGGGATCCCAGGCTGGGCTCTTGCAGCAGCTGTGTCAGGGCTGCTCTCAGTGGGGCTGTGCTCAGGGTGTGTGTTGCCATCAGCTGTTCCCTGCTCTGTTCCTCCTACCAGGTCGGCTTGGGCTGGGCACCCTGGAGTGCCACAACTGCCCCCAGCAGGTCACAGTCCCTCCGGAGCACGAGGCTCAGAGGGTCATCTGTGGTATCGATTCCTCCATGGTCCTCACAGTGAAGAACCAGATTCTTGCTTGTGGGAGCAACAGGTAAGAGGGGTGAGCATCTGTGGTCCACATTTTTCCATCCTGAGTCTGTCTGTGTTGTGACTAAGGGGCTCCAGAAGACATCCCTGTGTGATTCTAGAGATTTTCCCTGTGCAGGTGTAACAAGCTGGGCCTAGACCGGATCAGCTCAGCAGAGGAGCCTTCCCCAGAGGACCAGGTGGAGGAGGCCACTGTGTTTGTGTGTGCCCAGTCAGCCCCCTTGAACCAAGAGCCCATTGTGTGTGCTGACATTGGTACAGCACATTCAGCTGCTGTCACAGGTGAGGGTGCGTGCCCAAATTCTGAGAGGGGGGACACCTGCATTTTCCCTGTCTTCCTTCTGCCTGTTTCCCATGGGCAGTCTCTCAAGAGACACTCTGCTCCCAGTGTTGAAGCTCTGTGGAGCAGGATGCTCAGCCTGGAGACAGCAAAGAGCTTCTGGGGTTTCAGTGTGTCCCAAGTGACACCCAGTTGTGTCTCTCCTCTCTGCTGTCAGCCTCTGGCCACTGTTACACCTTTGGCAGCAACCAGCACGGGCAGCTGGGCACCAACTCCTGCCGCAACAGCCGCGTGCCCCACCTGGTTGTGGGGCTCGAGACGATGAAGGTCACCGTGGTGGCTTGTGGAGATGCCTTCACTGTGGCCATCGGGGCAGGTGAGGCTGAAGCCCCCATGTCCTGGGCTGCAGCAGGCCCTGGCTGGCCTCTGCCTCTGCTGTGGCCAAGGCAGGTGTGCAGTGAGGTGTTCTCATCCCTCTGCAGACGGCGAGGTGTGCACGTGGGGGAAAGGAGCCAGGGGACGCCTGGGCAGGAAGGACGAGGAAACAGGAGTGCCAAGGCCAGTGCAGCTGGAGGAGACACATCCATACCTGGTGACCTCCGTTGCCTGCTGCCACGGGAACACACTGCTGGCAGTAAAGCGTGAGTAAAGGCTTTGTCCCTGTGATTCCTGCCATGAGGACCCAGCCAGACACAGTGCCTTGTGACTGGAGCTGTGCTGAGTAACCCTGGTGTGTAACTCACTGTTATTCTAGTCCTTCTTGAGCTGTAGATGAATAGAAATAACTTCAAGCCCAAAATAATTCCCCTGCTGCTCTTCAACTCTGTGACACTGCCTCTCCTACTGGGCAAGGGGAGCAAAGGGATGGCAGAGGCTGTCTGGTGCACTCCCAGACAGGTAGGCTGGCCAAGCTAGCGTGCCAGCGGTCCACTCAGTATCCAAAAAGAGCAGCTCTCTAATTGATGCTGCTGAAATAGAAGCTGAGATTTGAGGCGTCATTTTGGCTGCTGCCTTTCCATTGTGGTTTGGAAAAGATAGCAATGGTTTTGTGGTTCCTCTCTGCTCAGGCCAGAGGCAGCATCGTGGCTCGGTTAAAACGTGCCCATGGCATGACCTGCCCTTCCGTTGCCTGGATGTACAACGGGAGCCTGGCCCAGACTGCTGCAGGGGCCTTTCTTCCTCCTGTGCTGGGCTGATTATGGCCTCAGCCTGGGCTGAGGGAGTCCAGCCCCAGCCCACTTCAAGGAGGCTAATTACAGCCTGGAGGGGAGGAGGCCCGGCCCGATGGCCCTGGCTCTGTTCCTCCCCTGCAAGTGCCCAGCTCTCATGTGATGTGTGCTGCCACGTGAAGGGGACAGGGAATGGCCGAGTCCCCAGGCTCAGGAACAAGTAGGGCATTTGTCATGGGAGTAAAAGGGTTTTGTCTCTGCAGGAAGACTGCAGGCTGCTCTCCCCTTCCGCTGCTTGAGTTGCCCTGCACTCTGTGGCAGCTGGTTTGTGGGCTCCTACCTGCAGCACTGTAAGAGCAGGGACTGAGTGTGTAGCCCCACTGCTGTCCCTCTGCACAAAACCTTGTCCTGTCCCAATACCAGGAGTGCAAACTCAGCGGTGTGAGGGCAGCAGCCTTGCCTGCCCCAGCATCTCTCAGCAACCAGCATGCAAAAAAGCACTAAGAGCTGTGTAAAGAGCTGAGATTTGGGCTTTCACACAGCTCAATCTGCCTGGAAATTTCTCCAGCAAGAACACGGGATCTGGTGACACATGTGATGTCATTGCTGCTGTGATCTGTCCTGGGAGGGTGCTGGCACAGGCATAGGCGAGCTGCACTCTACCTTTGGGGCAGCCGTTCTGCTCCTCCCATGGGGCCAGCTCCACTTTTGACTGGCTTGGGCTGCTGCCCAGGTTATCGTGAGCTGCTGCTGCTCCCTTCTCTCAATCCCACTGCAAACAGAAAAACTGGGAGAAGCCAGGCTGGAAAGGAGGAGAGCACAAACCTCAAGAGACTGCATTTCATCCTGCTTGGGCTCTGTTTGCTGGGCGTTGCCTCGCTTGTGCCACTACTGAGGTCTTGCAGTGGCTTCCTGTAGGGAAGGGGACAGGGATTTTGGTGCCCATCTGTTGGATGTCGTGTCTGTGTGGGGCAGAACACTTCTTGTAGCTTCATCAAGGTGGGGCCTCCAGCTAAATCACAATCTTTACTCTTTTTGTTTCAGCTGTCGTGGAGGAGTCGCCTTCCCAGTGAGTGAGAGCAGCCACATCCTGCTCTTCCTGCTGCCCACGGTGGCCTGGCTCAGACACACTCCAGGCTCCAGAGCTCCTCAGCTGCACTCTGAAGGCTGGAAACAGAGAGCTCCTAACGATGGTTCCCAAGGAACCAGAGCTGGTCTCACTTATTGAATTGTCACTGTGAACCTCCAGTGCCTGAGAGTCACTGCCCTGGATGTGCCCAGAGCTCTGGGGCTGCCTTCAGGGGGTCACACTGTGGCTCTTCCCCTCCCTGCTGGAAGTGCCTGTGTGGGAGAGTGAGGAGCACGGAGGTTGTTTTCCTCTGTGGAAACTGTTTCTGGTTACAAAGCCCAGGCTGACAGCTCCGTGTCTGAGAGGGCTGTCAGCCTTTGCACAGCAGCGTCTGGAGTCAGGGCCCCAGGCGCTGTGCTGGGTGACTAAATGCAAACCTCTTTGCTAATTAGAGAAGTCTGTCCTTTCCCATCCCCCCCTAAAACGTTTCACCCATTTATTGAGCACACTTTGGAGGATCCTGCCTGCAGGGTTGGCCGAGCTCTGCACGAGCAGCCTCCCTGTGCAGCACAGCTCTCCCCAAATGCTGCCTGGAGCTTTCCAATTACAGCCTCCCCTGGCCCCAGGAGGTCGCTGGAGGATCCTCCAGCTGACATTTGTCCTCAGGCTCCTCAGTCCTGCTGTTGACCGGCTCACTGGCTCCCAGCTGAGCTAGAGAAGGCAGCAAAACACAGCCAGTGATCGTCAGTACTTGAAGTTTTTTAACTCAGATTTGTCCAGGGAGCTGATGAGTTTTCACCAGGGGTCTTTTCGGGCAGGAGAAGCACATCCATGTGCTATGGACAAGAGTCATGTTTTTTGTCTCCAGAAGGGTCGTTTCCTTTCCTTTATTTTTTTCCTCTTCTTTTCTTTTTTTAACTTACATTTGCCCTGGGCCATTTTTTGATGAGCTTCTGTCTCTGATCTGTCTGACATTGCAAATGCTCTTGCCTTTCACATCCATCTTTGTGCTGTTGCCAATCTGTTGTGTATAAAGTCGGTGCTTTCATAAGCTGGCTGAGATGAAATCTCTCTAATTATTTTTGTGATTCTTTCCTGTTTTCAATGAGGGAAACCTCGACGGGCTCTGGTAAAAGCCAACTGATCCCTCTGTCATGTGGAAGGTAATGAATTTCTGCAGCTCCTGCCCGTCCTTCCCTCGCCTGCCAGGCTCCAGCTGGGGAAGGGAGCAGGTCCCGTCCGGCCGGGAGAGGCGTGTGCAGCCCTGGCTGCAGACACAGCCTCCCTGTTTGGCTCCTGGCAGGGTGGGTGCATGGGTTTTTCCCTGCCTTTTTTGTTTCTTGTGGAGCTGCCTTTTCAGGCGGTTACACCCTGCTATCCCAGGAAGCCGACTGGAATTCAAAGGTTCTGCCAGTCCTTTGGCACTTTCCTGTGCTGCAGGTTACAGAGACGGCTCAGCGCGGTGTTGGGGAAGGTGCTTCCCCTTCCCAGACCAACCTGGGCACCAGGGTGGCTGCAGGGCTGGGTTCAATTGCCTCAAAGCCTCTCTGGGCCGCTGCCTCTCTTCCTTGTCTGGAGCTGGCAGCAGCTCCAGCTCCTTTCCAGCATCAGATTTCTCTTGCCTGTGTTGTGCAGAGCTCTCAGGGCTCCCCTTGCCCCACACCCCATTCAAACACATCCCATAGGATGGGGCTGGTTTCCTCCTGCAGCCTTGCCAGGACAGCAGCAGGCAGGACAGAGGTGCAACACCCTTTGTCTTGTCAGCAGTGGCACCAGAATGCCACTGCTTCAGGAGCCGAGCTCTTCCTGCTCTAGCTGGGCTGCCAAATCCAGGGGTGCGGCCCCCCCACCTGCTTCCTATCAGTGTACTGGTGTTAGGTGAATGACTTTATGGCTTAATGACACCTTTGCACTGCAGTGCTGATACTGGAGGTGTCACCAGCTTGAATATTGGGCTCCTTTGCTCCAGACTGGGGAAACCAGTGTGGACCAGTGCCCTTTGTGCTGGGCCAGGGGCTCCGGGGAGGGCAGGAGCCCTCGGGATTTCACAGCCCGGGCTCTCCGCACAGGATTTCAGCTGTGAAGCCCAGCGAGATCATTTGAATAATTTAATACCGGGCTGTGACCAAGCCTAGCGAAAAGGGTAAAGGAAACAAAGAGGCCCCCAGCCCCGAGCAACAAAAGCTCCTGGAACGACAAGCCGAGGCATGTCCGTGCTGCCGGAGGCAGAGAGCAGCCTGGGCAAATAGGCCACTTGCATTCCTCACGTCGGCTGCTTTGTTTCCCTGCAGAAGCTCCCGGTGAAATCTGCAGGTCTCGGGGCTTCTCCCTTTATCCTTGTTTTGTTCGGTGTGGTGTGGAGCCGGTGGTGGATCGCTGTCCCCGCGGCTCTTCCTGCTCAGGAAAGGCAGGGCCGGAGGGGAAGGGGTTGGTGTGGGATGAGGCTGCCTGGTCCCTCCTGTGCATCCTGGTGCGGGTCCCCTCTGGCCATTGTCACCCAGGGAAAGGCTGTCCCCGTTCCAAATAAGATCCTGCTGACTTGGGGCCATTACTGTAGCAGGAAACTGCCTGCAGATCCCGCAGCTGATTTATTTTGATTCCGGCACCTCTGTCGAGGTCGTATCCTCATTCCCACGAGGCTTAGGCAGGAGGTGCGGCTGCTGTCCCTCTGTCCGTCTGCCTGCATCCCTTACCCTGCCCTCCCTGGGCACGAGGCCCCAGCAGCCGGGAGAGCACACTCCCCACTCCTTTCCCTGCGGCCAAAGGCTCCACCTTAACTCGTTTAGGAGCTGGAGCGTCGGTTTTCTGTCCCTCCAGTTGAAGTTAAATAGAAGGCGGAGGGATGGAGTAGCAGGGAGAGGCTGGGGAAGAGCACAAGAGGCCTCTCCGAACTCAGATGGTTTCAAGAAGTGACCCATCACGGGAGACAGGGAACATATCACCTCCACAAAGGGAATTGCCCTGAGTGTCGCCTTTGTGTGAGACAAATGCCTGGCTGTGATGTTGAGTGCGGGGAGGGCTTTGCTTGGGGAGAGGGGAAAAAGAGGGGATCTTTGTTTGCAGGGTCTGACACCTCCCAGCCGCCCTGCCGGCACAGCCAGCACCTTCTGATGGCTTTGTCAGCTCCTGGCTAATTAGCAGAGATGCTCTTCAGTGAGGTTAGGGAAGAATAATTTTAAAACATCAAAGAGAAGCAGTAAATAATGATAAAAGTCGGCTGTTTCATGGTTGTCATCGGAGGCACAGGCTGCCTGTGTTTACAGGACTGATGTGTCCTGTCTTTGGAGTCCCATCAACCCCCAGGACACCAAGGACCTGTCCTTTTGGCCTGAACCTTGTCCCACAGTTGTGTCCAGGGACAGTTTCCAGTCGGGGCCAGGTCACAGCGTGTCAGGGACAGTGTCTGGGTCGTGCCTATCTCTTGCTGGAGACAGCCTGGCTCCGGGCTCTGCTGGCACAGAGTGGCAGAACCAGCTGGACCGTGGGGCTGCTGCCCTGGGGGTGTCACAGCCCGGAGCAAACCCGGCTGGGGAGCACCTCAACCCCAGCTCAAGGTGGCTATTGCTCCCCACTGCTCCCTGTACAGCTGCCCACTGTCACTTGTTTTTACCTGTCGGGTTTCCAGTACCACTGGGAGCTGGTTAAAGTTTAGCTCAGTGCTTTCCATCATCTGAGCAGCAGCTCACGATCTCCTGGAAAATCCCCTGCTGGTGGCAGCTTGTGCTCAGTGTACCCCAGTACAAGGTTCCCTGATATTTGGAATCCCCAGTGCAGCTCAGAACAACCTGCCATCCCTCAGGGTAACCCCAAAAATGAGCCACCCATTCCTTCCCTGGCAGCTCTGACAGCAAGCAGGCTGCCTCCCCCCAGGCTGCTGCAGGGTTTTATTTTAAGCAAAGCCTCTTGGGGAGAAGGGTAACGTGAGCTCTTTGAGTGACAAGTGATAGAGCTCGACTTGCTCAGCGTGTCCCCCAGGAATCCCTCTCCTCTGCCATTTGCTAATTGAAAACTGCTAACATTTGGGTCTGGAGCAACTGCCGCCCTTAATGGGAAGCTGGCTGGAGCGAGCGTTGGTGGGACTAACACATGCTCGCAGCCTGTCATCTGCTCGGCTCCATCTCTGGGGAAAGGGGCAAATACTCCCATATGCTGCTCTGATTTCTGAAAGAGCGACGAGGGGGCTGGAGCCAGACAGATTTGCTTTTATTCTCCCTCCTCCAGGCTCTTGCTCAGTTACAAACCGTGGCTGGAGGGAGGCTGCTGGCTGCAGCCTGGGGTGAGAGTCCCCAGCAAGACAAAGCCACAGGAGCGTGTGTCCCCCTCGTTCCTGTGGCGTGGAGGGCTCAGGGCAGCCCCTCCGTGTCCTGCTGTGTGTGGGTGGTGGCTGGGACACGAGCTGCTCTGTGGTAGGAGCAGGCCTGGGAGCTGTATCCCACCCCCAGCCGTGTCCTCGGGCTGCGAGCAGGAGTGTGGCACCCCTGGGACACCCCTGAGGCATGCAGGGTCAGCGAGGACACCGCAGTGTGTGCCCGCAGAGCCCGGGCCCGGCCCAGGGGAGGCTGCAGAGGGCGAGGGGGCCGTGTGTGATGAGATGTTGATGCTCCCCAAACTCCTGCGGTGACCGTTCCCAGTGCGGAGGGTACCAAACCCCCGCAGAGGGCTGTTCCCGGTGGGGTGCTCCCCAAGCCCCTAGGGTGGCCGTCCCCACGTGCTGCACCCCAAACCCCTCGGAGGGGCTGTCCCCGTGCGATGCTCCCCGAGCCCCCGGGATGCCGGCACCGCTCCATCCCCGCCGCGCGGCGGGGGGCGGGCTCGGGCGGGGGGCGGGGGCGATGCCGATGCCGTTCCCCGTCGCGGGGCGGGCTCAGGCCGGTCCCACCGCCCCGTCCGGCCTCCGGGCGGAGCCGGGCGCGGAGCGCGGAGCCGAGCGGGCGCGGGGCGGCGGCGGCGGCGGCGGCGGCGGGATGCCGGGCTACGACTACAAGCTGCTGGAGCGGCCGCGGCGCCGGGTGCTGTGCCCGCTCTGCGGGAAGCCCATGCGGGAGCCCGTCCGCGTCTCCACCTGCGGCCACCGCTTCTGCGACACCTGCCTGCAGGAGTTCCTCAGGTGAGACCCCGCATCACCCCACGGGCGACCCGAGCTGACGTTACTCCGCGCACCCCGTCCCCCGTGGGGTACCGCGCTCGCGCACCCCGCACCGCCCGGTCCGGGGTTCCGCACCCCGGGCGGCAGCGGGGGCTCCTCGCCATCGCCACCCCCCATCCGCCGCCGGGCCCGGGGTGCGGTGCCCGGGGTGCCCCGAGAGGGGTGCGGGGTGCCCCGGGCCGGTGCCGGAGTGCGTGGTGCACGGGGGTGCGGATGCCCCGGGCCGGGGAGGGAATGCGGGATATCCCGGGAAGGGGCGCGGGGTGCCTGGGGGTGCGGGGGTCCCGGGGAGAGATGCGGGGTGCCCGGGGGTGCTCCGGGCCGGGGAACGGCAGCGGTGTGCTCAGGGACAAGGCGCGGAGAGCCCCGGGGAAGCCGCGGAGTGCCCCGGGAAAGCTGCGGGGCGCCCCGGGATGCCTCGGGCCAGGGAAAGGCGCGGGGTGCCCGGGGTGCCCCGGGGCAGGGAGGGGGTGCGGGGCGCGCCCAGCCCGTGACAGCCGCCCCGCGGGTGCAGCGGCCCGTGGCCCCTTTCGCTGAGGAGGAGGAAGAGGAGGGCCGGGTGAAGCCCGGAGCGGCGAGTTTCGAGAATCGAACTTAACCCCTTCCTGCCCCGGCCCCGGCGGAGGAAGTGGCCGGGGGTGTTTTTGGGGAGGGGCGCACGGCCACCCCGGGGTCCCCGCGCCCACGGGTGAGCGCGACCCGGCCGTGTGCGCTGGACGGGAGCGAGGAGCCGGGGCCTCTTCCGAGCCCTGCGGTTTGGGACCCCCGGTACCGGCAGCCGGGGCACACGTGCGGGGCCGGTGCTGTCCCGGTTCCCGGCTCAGCCGGGGTCCCGCGGGGCAGGGCGAGGGGCTGCCCGTGCTTCCTCCGGGCGGTGACAATCGTCACCCCGGGCCTTTCCCCGCCTTTCCCAGCCGGAGCGACCTTCGCCCGGGGACAGCTCACGGGCACCACCGTCACCGGGGCCGGTTTCTGTGAAACCGGGCGTTCCCCGGGGCACGTGTCAGGGCGCATCTGTCCCCCCGCTCCCCCGCACCCCTCCCGCCGGCACCTCCGCTCTGCCGGGGGGAATGGCCTCGGGGGATCCCCCCCGAGCACAACGTGTTTGCCCCGGATCAGTTTGGGGCTCCCTTGGGCTGAGCCATCCAGCCCCACGGCGGTGCTGGGAAGGGCTGCCGGGGGTGTCGGGGGGTGCCGGGGCTCCCCGCCCCATCACCTCGCTGTGCCCCAACACGCCGTGAAGGTCAGAGGCAAGGACGGTCCCCCCGGGTGCTGCCTCAGCACATTCCCTGCCCGGCCAAGCGTGAGGAATGGGGAGGCTTTGTCGGGGATTAGGCGCTGGCTTCGGGTCATCGTCCCACTTCCCTGCCAGCCCCAGCACCCCAACACCGTGCACGGGGTGCAGGCACAGCTGGCAGCCCTGGAAGGGCAGCAGAGTGATCCCAGCCACGGGGCAGTGCCAGCCACGAGGCAATGCCACGGGTGCCCGGCCCTGTCTGGGAGCACCTTATCTCGGTGGATCCCTGATGACTCCCACAAAACCACCTGCGACAAACAGAGGGGGCACGTGGCAGAGCTGGTTGCAGCCCTTCCTCACGTGGGTCGCACCCCACAGGGTGTTCCTGGGGTTCGCTTGCACTCCCAGCACAGCTTGGTGGCCGCAGGGGACACGGCCAGGCAGCCCAGGCTGGCGCGTGCCCGGCAGCACTGCTGGCTCCGTCCTGGAGTCTCACATCCACTTGGCAGCTCTGGTCGAGGCCACGCCAGTGCCTGCCAAGGGCTCGCAGTGATTAGATGGGCACAAGGGCTGTCCAGGCGGGACAGCCTTGTCCAGTGTCACCTCAAAGACAGCAGAACCACAGGGTCCCTTTGTGTCCCTGCTGCACGTCCCTGTAGGCAGCACTGGTGGTCTCGCACCCCAGTGTCCATCAGGGATGGTGCATGGACACCTTCTCCACCCCCTGGGCACAGTGATGTGTGGACCAGAGGTGATGGTGACTCCTGGGCAGCTTTGTCACATGCCAGGCTGCCTTTTGGCTGGGTCCCTGTCTCCACTTCGTGCTGCTCCTCTGCATGGCAGGACTGAGCAGGGCCCTTCCCACCTCAGGGACAGCTCCTGGGGGGCCAGCAGGATGGGGACCCCTCCAGGGGGGCTGCCTGTCCCCCTGTCCTGACTCACCGTGGTGGCTGCTGGGGCCATTTCCTGTGGAGCAGGAGCCCCAGGGCCACGCATCAGGGCTGCACATCTGGCGCCCAGCTGTTGCCCTCCCCCTCCTCCCCTGGGCCCCCCGGCACCTGGGGCTGCCCCTGCCGGCCCCCTCCTGGCCAGCCGCCGCCGGCACCCTCCTTAATCCCAGGGGACGGATGGGCGAGGGGCTGCCGGGGCTCCAGATGGTGCCAGCGGCTGGCCTGGCCCCTGGGGAGTGCGGCCGGGCCGTGGGGGGCTGCCTGGGGGGTGTCTGGCGGGGGCATTTCCCAGCTCAGACAGATGGAGCAGGATTAGAGCCGCGGCTCCCCCAGGGTGGCGGCTGGATTTGGTACGGGGTGAGCGCTCAGCAGTGCAGGGACAGCAGCAATGTCCTGGGGTGGGGTGGCAGGGAGCCGGTGGGACACGGTGGCTGTGTCACCGGTGATCCCCAGCGATCCCGAGCCTTCTCTGTCTTTGCAGCGAAGGCGTCTTCAAGTGTCCAGAGGACCAGCTGCCCCTGGACTACGCCAAGGTGAGCCTGGCACACGGATGGGTACCCTGCTCCAAGGGGACATCCCCACCAGGGGCCGTCCCCAGCTCTGCACAGCGCCTGGCACAGCCACGCCGGCCTGGCACGGGCGCCCGGGCGGAAGCAAGAGCCCTTTGTGCCGCGGGCCGGGGAGCGGAAACCCGCTCCCGACAAAGGGCGCTTGTTGCTGTGCCCGGGGGGGATCCGGCCCCGGGCAGCGTGCCCAGGGCTCCCAGCCAGGCTGTGCCGGGGGCTGTGTGCCCCCCCAGCCCGCTGCAGGATGCTGATACCCCGCTGCTGCCCCTCCAGATCTACCCCGACCCCGAGCTGGAGGCGCAGGTGCTGAGCCTGGCCATCCGCTGCATCCACAGCGAGGAGGGCTGCCGCTGGAGCGGGCTCATCAAGCACCTCCAGGTAGGGCCTGGGAGGTTGGGGGTGGCAGAGTTGTACCCCGTGGCCTTCCCGTCACCATCCCTGTGTCCCCCAGGCCCATCTCGGCACCTGTGGCTTCAACGTGATCCCCTGCCCCAACCGGTGCAGCGCCAAACTGAGCCGCCGTGACCTCCCCGAGCACGTCCAGCACGGCTGCCCCAAGCGCAGGGTCAAGTGCGAGTTCTGCGCCAGCGACTTCACTGGGGAGGCCTTCGAGGTGGGCACTGGGGGGGACACTGGTGGGGACACCGCTGGCAGGGTGCCATGGTGGGCGTGGCTGTGCTGGGGGTGTTGTGGGGGGTGTAGCCGGGATGTGTGGGCACCCCATGGGCTGCAGGGGCACCGTGGGGACACAGCCTGGGGATGGGGACAGGGCCTGGATGGGGACACGTGATGATGGGGACAGCCTTGGGGGGGATGTGGACATGTGGGCTTCTGTGGTTGTTGTGCCCTCTGGCTGTGGGGGTGTCCTCATCCCTGTCAGGGCTGGCTGGTGAGGGCAGCCAGAGGGTGATGACACTGTTGTGGTCCCCAGGGCCACCAGGGCACGTGTCCCCAGGAGAGTGTGTACTGTGAGAACAAGTGTGGGGCCCGCATGATGCGGCGCCTGCTGTCCCAGCACGCCCTGGCCGAGTGCCCCAAGCGCACCCAGCCCTGCACCTACTGCTCCAAGGAGTTCGTCTTTGACACCATCCAGGTGAGATGGAGCCCACGGGGACCCTCTCCCTGCCAGCTCCCAGCCCCTGCTGACAGCCTCTCTGCCTCCCCAGAACCACCAGTACCAGTGTCCCCGGTACCCCGTGCCGTGCCCCAACCAGTGCGGGACACCCAGCATTGCCCGGGAGGATGTGCCCACCCACCTCAAGGAGAGCTGCAACACTGCCATGCTGCTGTGCCCCTTCAAGGAAGCTGGCTGCAAGCACCGGGTGAGTGCTGTCCCTGAGACCAGCCTGCCCTGGCGTCCTTGGGCATGGGCTGCTGTCCCTACTGTGTCACGCCTGTCCCCCACAGCACCTCCACTCCGCTCCTGCCCCAATGTCTGTCCCATCCCTTGTGTTCAGCCTCATCCATGTGGCTCCATGTCCTCACCCCTGTGTTCGCCCCTCAAGTGTCGCCCTGCCACCCCAACCAGGTGTCCCTGTGCCACCCCTGTGTCCCCATGACATGCCTGTGCCAGTACCCCGTGCCCCAATGACATCTCCATGTTATCCCCACGGTACCTCCTCTCCTGTCCCGTGTCCCCCTGCTGTCCCTGCCACCCCGCTGCTGACGGTCCCGCTGTCCCCCCAGTGCCCCAAGCTAGCCATGGGTCGGCACCTGGAGGAGAGCACCAAGACCCACCTGGGCATGGTGTGTGCCCTGGTGAGCCGGCAGCGCCAGGAGATCCTGGAGCTGCGCCGGGACGTGGAGGAGCTGTCGGTGAGCAGCGACGGGACCCTCATCTGGAAAATCGCCGACTACGCCCGCAAGCTGCAGGAGGCCAAAGCCCGCAGCAACTACGAGTTCTTCAGCCCCCCGTTCTACACCCACAAGTACGGCTACAAGCTCCAGGTGTCGGCTTTCCTCAACGGCAACGGCAGCGGGGAGAGCAGCCACCTCTCCGTCTACATCCGCGTGCTGCCGGGCGAGTACGACAACCTGCTGGAGTGGCCCTTCTCCTACCGCGTCACCTTCTCCTTGCTGGACCAGAGCGACCCATCGCTCTCCAAGCCCCAGCACATCACCGAGACCTTCCACCCCGACCCCAACTGGAAAAACTTCCAGAAGCCGGGAGCCTCGCGCAGCTCCCTGGACGAGAGCACCCTGGGCTTCGGCTACCCCAAGTTCATCTCCCACGAGGACATCAGGAAACGGAACTACGTGCGGGACAACGCCATCTTCATCAAAGCTTCGGTGGAGATCCCCCAGAAGATCCTGGCCTGAGCCCCGGAGGGGGACAGGATGTGACCGGGGTGCCCCCGGTGGTGCTGAGCCCCTGCCCGCAGCCGCTGTCCCCGGCGTGGGGACGCTGCCGTGGCACCGCGGTGGCTCTCAGGACAGGCAGGGACGGGGCTGCTCCCGCGTCCCTCCTGGGGCTGGGACTGTCCCCTGGGGCAGCCCCTTCTCAGGTGCCCGGGGGTGCCGGGGGGCTGGGCCCCCTGAGCCCCTCCCCGAGGTGCCCAGCGGCCCCCGCCAGCCTCGCTGGGGACCCTGCAGGACCCCACTGGCCAGAGCCATATTTTGTAAACTGGTGCTCCCCAGGTTGTTATTTATTACCCCGGGCTGGGGCTGCTGCCCCCTCCCCACATTTTTTTTTCTTTTCAATAAACTTTTCTTGTATTTATTACGGCCGCCTGAACCTCCTTCCTCAGCCTGAACCTCCTTCCTCTGCCTGCCGGGGTCGGGATGGCAGGAGCGGGGGATGCTCCTGGGTGCTGGGGACAGGGAGAGCCGGGAGCGGGCAGGGGGGCACGGAGAGGGGTAATCCCTGAGCCACGTCCCGGCGGCAGACGGGCTCAGATGGAGCCGGTTAATTCGGTAATCACCGGCAGCAGCGGGGATGGAGGAGCCGCCAGCCCCGGGGGGCTGTTTCCCTGCAGGGCCCCCCTCGGTCCCATCAGCCCCTCGTTAGCGCTGGAGTAATTAACGCCCCGGGGGAGGGCGGCATCCCGAGCAAACGGGGTGGGCGATGGTGGGGGGCACTGGGGCAGACTGGGGGGGTCGGGCTGGATCAGGCCCCGTGTCCGTGTGTCTGGGCCCCCTCCCGTCACCCCGGCGGCGATGGGGGAGTCGCTGTCTCTGCAGGATAATCCCACAATTGCATTAGTGCTGCTCCGGTTTAAGGCAATTAGCCCCTAATTAGCTGCACCCTGCGGCCCTGGCTGGGCTGGTGGGGGGCAGCACTGCCGGGGGTGTCCCCATACCCCGTTCCCCCCTCACCCCCCCAGGAGTGTCCCCTGAGCAGGTCCCAGCCCGGTGGCCCTGGGGAGCTGGGCAATGCTCCTGTCCTTGCTGGTACCCAGTGCCAGCCTGTTCTGGTGCCCAGTTCCATTCCTGCAATGGGGCGAAATGCAGGTCCAAACTGGTGCCCAGTGCCAGCCTATAGTGGTGTCCAGTGCCAGTCCATACTGGGCCACCAAACTGGGGTCTGATGCCAGCCCATTCTGGTGTCTGGAGTCAGCCTGTACTGGTGTCCACACTGGCACCCAGTGTCACCCCACGCTCGTGCCCAGTGCCAGCCTCAAGCTGATTTGTGATGCCAGCCCCAGATGTCGGACAGTTCTTGCCCATGCTGGTGCCTGGCGTGCCCAATATCAGCCTGTGCTGGTGCCCAGAGCCAGCCCAGAGTGGTGGCAGTTCCTACCCACACTGGTGACCCATGCTAGCCCATACTGGTGCCCAGTGCCAGCCCAAACTGCTGCCCAGGGCCCGGCCATACTGGTACCAGTGCCAGCACAAAGTGGCCAGTCCATTGCCAGCCCGTACTGGTGCCCAGTGCCACCCGTGTGTTAATGTCCAGTGCCAACCCATACTGGTGACCAGTGCTGGCCCACACTGGTGCCCGGTTCCAGCCCATCCCATTGCCCATCCCAGTGCTCAGTTCCAGTTCATCCCAGTGCCAGTTCCAGCCCATCCCAGTGCCCGTCCCAGTGCCCGGTTCCAGTCCATTCCAGTGCCCATCCCAGTGCTCAGATCCAGTTCATCCCAGTGCCAGTTCCAGCCCATCCCAGTGCCCATCCCAGTGCCAGTTCCAGCCCATTCCCGTGCCTGGTTCCAGTCCATCCCAGTGCCAGTTCCAGCCCATCCCAGTGCCAGTTCCAGCCCATTCCCGTGCCCGGTTCCAGTCCATCCCAGTGTCCAGTTCCAGCCTGTCCCAGTGCCCGTCCCAGTGCCAGTTCCAGCCCATCCCATTGCCCATCCCAGTGCTCAGTGCCAGTCCATCCCAGTGCCAGTTCCAGCCCATCCCAGTGCCCAGTTCCAGTCCATTCCCGTGCCCGGTTCCAGACCATTCCCGTGCCCGGTTCCAGCCCATCCCAGTGCCCGTCCCAGTGCCCGGTTCCAGTCCATTCCAGTGCCCATCCCAGTGCTCAGATCCAGTTCATCCCAGTGCCAGTTCCAGCCCATCCCAGTGCCCGTTCCAGCCCATTCCCGTGCCCGGTTCCAGTCCATCCCAGTGTCCAGTTCCAGCCTGTCCCAGTGCCCGTCCCAGTGCCAGTTCCAGCCCATCCCAGTGCCCAGTTCCAGTCCATTCCCGTGCCCGGTTCCAGACCATTCCCGTGCCCGGTTCCAGCCCATCCCAGTGCCCAGTTCCAGTCCATCCCAGTGCCAGTTCCAGTCCATCCCAGTGCCAGTTCCAGCCCACTCCCGTGCCCGGTTCCAGCCCGCCCCGGTGTCCCCGTGTCCCCCCGCCCGGTGCTCGGCTCAGTGGCGCCGCCGCGTGGGGACCGAGGGGAGGGGAAGATGTTGATAGAAATGTACTGCCTTATAATTTATATAAATGAATAATAATTATCATTATTATTATCATTATAATTATTATGGCAACAAATTTTTATAATTAGTATTAAGTATACATTTTATACTTACATATTTTCTGCTTATTTTTTATTCTATAGTAATGAATTTTATTTAATATATACATTTTATATATAATACTTTAAAATATTTTAATTTTAATATTTCGTATACAATATACGTATATTTATATATTATATCAAATTTCATATACAAATATAATTGCATTACATAATATTTTAGTATTTTATACTATAGAAATTTTATCTGTGTATTTACACACCTTCCATTCTTCATATTTATCATACATTTAATTTCTATTTAATAGCCGTTCATAATTCTTGTTCTTATATTTTATATTTTTTATATTGTATATGTGTTATGCACATTTTATTTCTATATTTTTATTTGTGTGTATATACACACCCCCAAACACACACAGAGTGCAGGGACAGCCCTGTCCCTCTGACCAGCCCACACACAGGGTGTTGACAACCCTTTATTCCAACAAGTTGCCTTAAAATAAATAAAATAAAATCAAAATCCTTATATAATTTATGAACTAAAAGTGGGAAGCAGTGCTGGAGGAAGCCTGGGCAGCAGCTCCTGGATGAAAAAAACCACTCTGGGAGCTTGGAGTTATCCCTGTCCCCACCTCAGGGACCAGCTCCCAGCTCTGCTTTCTCTGCTTGGGTTGATTTTCCCCTTTTCCTGCCCCTTTCCACCCTGTCTGTGGGATGTGCTGTTGATTGCTGCACTCCAGCTCGGTTCCCTGGAAATGTCAGCGGGATCTTGGAGCACCTCTTAACCTTCAGCGTGGCGGCGATTCCCCGGCAGGGCTGGGCCGAGGAAAAGCAGGAGGGGGAGATGCTCTCAATGCTCAGGGAGGAGAGGGAGACAAATCGATGCTTGCTGCTAAATTTAGCCTCAAATATCAAGTTTAAAAATAAACTTCCTGGAAACTTGGTGGTTTGAGGGTTTATTCTAAAGGTTTGTGCTGCCAGCTCACTCCCTGCTCCGCTGTCCCAACGTTGCTGAGATGCTGGAAGGACCCCCAGAAGATGCTGAAATCAGGGAGGAAAATCTTATTAAATATCTGAAAAATCGAGGAAGACCCCACCTGGAGGGCTCTTTGCCTGTGTAAGACCCCACCTCAGAGGAGATGCCCTAAATAACCCCCAAACCTTTTTAATCTCTTTGGGATTGTATACAGGGAGGATTTTTTGGCAAAACCACTTCATCCGCTCACACCATAGAGCCCAAATTTGTGCTGATTCTTGATGCTTCTTCTGAAACCAGACATTGATATTGTATAGGGAGAAAAATGTGAGAAAAATTTCCTTTGCACATCCTTTATTAAAGACTTATCTGGGCCCCCTCCCTCCCCATTTTCCCCAGGAGTGAGGGGTTTGAGGGCAGTGAAAGCTGACAAGATTTCACAGCAGTTTTTTGGTGCAATCTCCCTTCACTCTCCGTACATCACTCCGGCTTGCAGCCGCCCCAGCAGAATCAACAGCCTGTACCCAATTGCTTTGAAATTAACTTAAACTAAGCAGATAAAACACTCCAGTAATTTTATTGCAATTTGGCTCTGCTGAACGTTGAAGAGCATCCGAAAGGCGGCTCTTGCTGGAGGGTGTCCAGTGCGTGCTCCTCCAGCAGCTGACCACAGCGTGCCACTTTCCTTTGGCTCCTCCACCCTCTGGACCCCCCAGGACCCCACAAGGATTTTTTTCCAGGATTTTTTTTCAGCTCTGAATTTTTGCAGCATCCCCAGTGTTGCTCCTCTCTGAACATCACAAGCTGTTGGAGCTGCTGGAGTTCGCAGAGAACATCTGGGTGTTGCCTACCTTGGGTCAAAATCTTTGGAAGAAAAATGCATTTGGCCCTAAAGGAGAAGCTTTTAAAATGTAGGATTTTACTCAAAGCCCTCAGCTTAGCTGTGGCTGCAGCTGCTCACACCAAGTCCCTGCTGGATTGCTTTCCACCAGATCCTTGCTCCATGTCCAACTGGCTGCAGAGATGATGAGAAAATCTCCTGAAAACTCCTTGCAGAAGAGATTTTTCCTGTTGGGAGGATGGATGAAGAAACCAGATACCAAAGAAGCTTTGAGTCAAAGGAGAAGAGGATCCTGAAGCTCTGATGGATGGAGTGGCTGCTGCTGGAATTTCCGGATGCCGGAGAGGGATGCAGCAGTGCCTGTGGGCAAACAGCTCTTCCTGCCTCAGCTCAGCCAGGCTAAGCTGCCTGGTTTAGCCCAAATTCCAGGAAAACCACGTGGGAACCAAATGTCCATAGCATCTGGGGAACAGTGGGAACAGCAGGAAGGCGGGATTTTGACACCCAGGTTTGCAGTGAGCACAGGAGACGGGGTTGGAGTTTTGTCCTTCTGAGAGATGGAAGCAAAGATGAAATGAGATGTACAAAACCCTGGCAGGTCCCATCTTCTGGAAGGTGATTGTGAATGTTACAAATTCTCTTTAAAATTTTGGCAGGACTCAAGCCCCCTCCTCCACTCCTCCTCCTCCTATTTTTAACCATTCTTTCAGCACCTTTCTCTCAGAGACTCTTTCTCTGTTTCCCCAAACCTTTCCCCTTATTGGAGCAGTCAGCCAGACTCTGCCTGATGCATTCCTACCCCAGAAACCCACGGAGACCCTTCCCCAAATTCCCTCTGGGACAAACACCTACCCTGTGACTCCACCTCACACTGCCTAAAACCAGCAGAAGGGGCAGAGGGACAGGTCTCTTTTTTTATTTTTCCCGTGGACAAAATAATAACAATAAAGAAAATTCTAGTTGGTACCCATAGCACAGAAGCAGCAGCCT